CGCGAAAAATAGATTTTTCAAATTGTTTGAAACTTTTGACATTTTTTAAAACATTCAAAGTTATTTGAAAAGCTAAGTAAATGGTAAAAAGATGCAATAAGGTCAAAAGAAATCATTACAAATGAATAATAATTCTGTGATCCTTTTCTAGTGCGTACTTCTTAGCATAAATTGATCTGCAATTAGTTGTGATCTGCTATTACTAGTTATTATTCTTTATTATGCTGTACTAATATTCAAATTTATTAGTAAATTATTCTGTATCTCAAAAGAAGTGCAATATTTTTGGATTTTTATGATATATCAGAGGTAATTTTCAAATTTTAGCAAATTAATTGGAAAAAAAGGCAAATACAATTAGATAAAAATTAGCTGCTTCAAATGTGTTCATTTGATGAATTTTGACGACCATTATTTCTCTCATGAACACCTTTAATCCATTTGATGAATACATCTTATAACAGGATTACTACTCCTTGCGGCAGGACTTTCCTTCCTCAGTCCGTTATAATAGTTATACATAGGCACTATTTGGATAGTAACACCGCATTTATGCACACTACATGGATAATCTAGGATTTGTTTGTACAGTAAATGGGGTATTTTTGATCTAGAAAGATTCACCGCTACATGCAGGAAATAGTGGTACCATTCTTCTTGTGATTACTTTTTCAGAGAGTTAAAGTTACTTGCTAAAGTAACTTTGGGGTCAGCAATTGCATTGTTTTAGTTTTATTTGCTTTGAGAGTAGATAAATACGGTGTAATGCATTTTCAACTTTTCATGGTTATTAATTATACAAATTATATTGTTATTACTTTCACAACAATACTATTTTTGAATTTTCACTAAAATCTTTTAAATTTGTCAAGGACTTATTGTTGCTTTGCATTCATCAAAATTCTGCATGAGATTCAAAAATATATAATCAATTAATTGAAAAATATATAATCAATTAACAAATTTTTGATAGAATTCCGAAACAAATTTTGTTCAATCTATACAAAAAAATAGTCCAATGTTGTCTTCGAATAAGAAGAAACTTTGCAATAAAAATGAAAATAATTTACAGGTTTCTTCTTGTAAAATGAAATTTGTTAGCAGTTACGGTAAGTCTGCAAATTGCTGCTGAGACTTCATTGAACAAAATTATTGGCTTTGCTTCTTAAAACTATTTCTATACAATTATCAGTCACTGGAATTCGCATTTGAATATTACAATAGAACTGCAATGAATGGTCTGAAAGGGGTAATTATGAAAAATGAATGTTAAAAAAGTTGAAATATACAAAAATAGATGTAATCTTTGTAATTTCAGGGATTATTTGCCTAAGATCAATTTTTAGTTTAAGACTTAATATTTTAGCGTTGAAGTAGTATAAATTCAACAGTGTGTGTTTACATATGACAATTAAAAAGTGAGATAATGACTGTATTAATCTACCAGTTCAATGAATCATTCTTTGCTCTGTGAAAATCAAACCTATAGTTTATATACAATTTAAAATTTTTAATTACTAATTCAGTACTGCTTCGGATAAAATCAAGTTAAAATATTTCTGAAATATTTAGTAACAGGCTAAGTATTATTACATATAATAGTTACTAAGTTAGTCATGAAAATGTTTTCAATTTTTTAATACTCAAAAAAGTTTTACAAATTGAGAAAATTATAAGTTCATCGTGTTAATTAGTTATCAGTAATATATTATCACTGTTTCATGAGTAATAATAAATTGATTTAACAGTTTTCTATTCAAAGTAATGGAAATATTCAGAGCGAATATCTGTTGAGTAAAGGAAATTGACCACTTGAAAATGTGTGCTAAGTAAAAGGTTACTGATAACGTTATTTGAAATGATTGACAGAATGTCAAAGTACGTACTATCCAGGTTGGCTTGAAAACTTTTCAGGTGGTTTTTCAAGTGGTACTTCATCTTCAGGTCCTCAGATTGTGCTCTTGTTCAGACTAGCCTGAGCTCTGCTCACTGACCCTGGTCTTCATCTGATATCCTCCATGCACTCATTCGTTAATCTTATCACTTTCACGCTCTTTTTCTGAAAATAAGCACTTGATTTTGTCTTTTTTAACCTTTCAAGCTAACTTTTTAAATTTTACTCCTTAATCATTTGGTATTAATGTTAGAAGCAGTCTTTTACTGGAAGTAATGTCTTTGCAATCAATTATTTATTACATTATCTTTGCCATTTGACCCCATATCAGCAAGCATTGAAATATCCATTTTTATGTACAAAATAGAAAATGTAATGCTTGTTTACTGCGATAAGCTTTTAAAAAACTTTTTATTGCTTGATTTTAATCAACTTATTGCTTGGAACTTGGGTCATTATTTTTAATTTTAAGGTTTCCATTTGAACGAAAAGCTTATTTATAACCTGAAGATCAATTATATACTCAAGCACAATGCTAAAATATCATATTCTTTGTTTTTAAATTGTTGGAAAGATTGTTTGGAAAATAAAGAAAAATAACTGAAAAATATGAAATTTTTAGGAGTAAATTTTCAATGAAATGTAAGCAAAATAATTGTATTATTCACTTATTTTCTATTTCCTACTGTACAGAACTTCAAAAGGCCAATTTACCAAAGGTCGACAAAACTCCATTTAATGTAATTTTGCATGAAAAAATCATACCTTTGCCATTTCCGAATTTTGGGGTCAGCTTTCCTTTTTGAAAATGTATATATATTACTGTCGGAAATCGTCCATCATACAATTCTTTCGGCAACTTTGCATTGCATTTTACTTGCTGGCACTTATATTTGCATGACTCCGATAGTATTTCTGTGCACATCAGACACTGCTAGTATAAATTTGAATTAGTGCGCACGTTGATTTTCAAAAATTTTTGTATTCAATACGATTGCGTCTTTATTATTTGGATTTATTTTTTTGATAAGCCACACAGAAATAGATTTCGATTTTAAAATCAAATTGTTTTTGACTAATTTTCTGAGAAATTTGTTTTTTTTTTCGCTAAGCGAACCAAGATTCTCCATTTTATTCAATTTTTATCAACAGTTTTTTAGTTTACAATGAACGGAAAGGAGCCAAATAGCAAGAATCAAAAGCACTTCTTAAGATTAGAAGTTAGATGACGTAATTGTTTCTATCAGAGGCAATAACACTGATTTTTATAATACTTAAATCAACGAATAAAAAAACTATGCTGTTAGATACTTGTTTAGAATCAAAACAGTCACTTGTTTGATTAGAATAATAGATTCAGACTAAAATTAGTTCACAAATTTAAAGTTGTCTGAAGCGAAACTAATGCAACAAAATTAAACATTAAATTAGTCTTGAAAGATGATAATTAGGGAAGTTACTTAGGCTTAGAGAATTTTAAGTAAATTTAAACTATAAATAGTTACTAGTGCATTTGACCGAGCCTCACTTGTTTACTTATTTACTTATTTTTATAAATAGAGCTTTTCAAACCTATAAATTTTATTTCAAAAAGTAGTTATTTGCTTAAAAATTAAATTATAGGTAGCTTGATTTAAATTTTTTTAATTTTAAAATGTATGCATTAAGCATTTTTCATACATCTTAGAATTGTTTGTTCTGAGTGAGAACAGTCTTGACAGTTGCAAGCAACATGACCTCGGGGAGCAAAAATGTTTTCATTAATAATAACTCTAGAATTTTTTGATCAGTTGTTAAATCAATAATGATATAAATTAAGATCAAAAATACACTGGATAAGTTTTTTTGATAGTCATCAAGTCTGTTGTTGATATTGTCTTGTTTAGACAAGGATCCCTAAGAACCAAAGCATTACTTCATTTACATACTGTTAGTAAGCAAAATACAACATACTTTTTTTCAGATAAAATAATTCAGAATAATTTTCAAACAAATTAAAAGGCGTTCGCTTTTCCTAATTATAGTAATTCTTATGGAACTTGAAAATTTTTTTTTTGGAAAAAAACCGTTCAAACGTTGCTTACAACAAATAATTTCCTGCGAACAAAGTAACTTAATCTCAAAGTGTAGCTAGCACAACGACAGGTAATTAATACTGAAAAGCTTTGCAGTTACAGAATTACCGAAATTTGTTGTTTTTTTCAATAAACCGCTGTTAATCCATTTCTGACCTATAAGTCGGTCCGATATCTCTCAGTTTGATATTTTGAGAGCACCCTAACACCAATAATTAAGCAGCACTATTTTCATATAATAATTCTGGTAAGTTAGAAGAAAAGCTAAAGATCTGGATGAAAATCTATTTATTGCAAAGTTTTCAATTCTTCATGTTATTTTTGACAAAGAGAAAAAATGATGCAGTTTTTGGAATGGTATCTAATTTGTAGCTTGACGTGCTAGAGCCTACGAATTTGAACTGAGCTATTCAAAAGTAATGCTAATGCTAACTCTAATTCAATACAGTTTATAAATAATTTACCCGATTTTCTCCTACGTATTATTATTTTCTACAGTAAATCTGGATGAATTTTATTTCGTAGAAAACTTTGAAAAACCCAAAATTGAAAAATTAAAAATATTTGGGTATCAAAAATCAAAAGTTTGTGGAACAAGAACAGAAAGAATCTCACACCGTATGCTTCTTGGATTGCTTCTTTTGTGAACACCTCCAAAATGAAGGTACAAAACGTTCTAGTCGGGTATTGGCTGATTTCCGGTTGCCAGCCCCACCCTTAAGTAGTTATGACGAATTCGGTCCGCCCTTGTGTGATTTTAAGGTTGATGAAGAGGAGCAGAGATTGAGAGGGCTTAAGGTGGAGATTGGTACCATACCATAGGAGGGGCAGAATCTGAAGTGGAAAATAGAAGTATGCTCGAATAAGGGAGGGGTTGAAGCAACACAAGAAGAATCCCTCTGGGACAAGTGGCCATTTAGTAATGGTTAAGTAGGTAGTGCTCCTATGGTATCGTTGGTTTTTCAGGAGAGTAATGCTTGAAGATTCTCTTTGAAAGGATTCAGCGTAACATGCTTGAAAGTTTTTTTGAAGGAGAAAATTCAATAGTAAGAAGAACTGATTGAATGATTCAGAAGGACTGCCTGCTTCTAAAGTATACCAAACAATTGTTTTAGCTCTAATTCCAACTATCGGTAACTTTCTTCTCTACTTTCTCTTCTTTTGCTTGCCTACTCACCAATGCAATTCAGAATTACTCAGATTTTTCCAACTTCAAGTGCTCGGCATAAGTTGAGTGAGTCGAAAGTGTTAAAGATGTACTTAAAATATGCTTCTAAGGGTCAGCTTGTTCGATTATGTTATTTTTACGTAGTAAAGTGGATCTTCTCAATCAGTTCAATTGATCCTTAAAAAGTGATCACAGCTACTTAGTATTTACGCTTGACTTTAAGTATTACTTTAAACAAAACCTCAAGTTGATAGTTATCTGATACATGTAATCAACTTCACAAAAGTGATAATTAAGTATTTCAGCATTTTTCGGAATTTTTTTTGTAAATATTAAAATAGATTTAATATTAGGGGCTATCAATTTCAGTTAGACTTTCCTAAAAAAATTTCAAAACAAATCCAGTTTAAAAAAGTTAAACGATTTAAAATTCATGAACTTTTTAATGATTCTATTTAGATCACAGAAAGTGTTTGACTGTTTTCGCTTAAGTGATTGCTTGGCTAATTTTATTTGTTTACGAATTTTAGAAACGATAAGAAAAAATTGCAACGAAAGAATTGCATTTCTAACATTTCGTTTTCAACTTTTCAAACAAATTTTAGTGCGCTTTAGATTAGCAAATTAAGTGGTATGCGCATCTTATCAAGCATTCATGCAGTAGCAGCTTATTGAGTAGTCTTAAACTCTTACGTGAAGTTCATAATTAGAAGTTTTATAGATGTTTTATTTAGTTTTTGCTCTCAGCGTACTGAAATTTAAACATTTTTTGTACAAGTAAGCAGATAAAGTTTTAATTATTAGGAGTAAGTAGTCATCAAAAAGAGATAAATTTTGAAAACATTTATTTGTTGTATATTTTAATGACTGGTTCTTGCAGTGACTTTTAGTGTTGTTAAATGATCTAATTAAATCATAGGAACATTTGTTGCCGTAAGGGAATAAATCTGAAAAGTGAAAAAAAAAATTGGCAATTAAAATTTCAGCAATAGTTGAGACTTAATTTGAATTATTCCCAACAATAAAATTAAATAAGTAATCTAAGAATAAAACAATTAACTTTCTTGAGATCAAGAAAGGTGGATAAGCGGTACTCCCTGAGATTCTTAGGAATAGATTTTGGTATTGCGTTATTTCAGTATTTTACTTTTTTTTTACTTTGTCTATTTGTTTCTAGCAATTTCTTGAATTTTACTAATACCAAGAATTTGGGCCTTTCAAAATACGTCCTGAAGAACATGAAATAATACGCTTATATAATACGCTTAATAATACGCTTAATACGCTTATTTCAAACAATTTCAATTCGAATTATGTCGTTTAAACTGAGCATGTGTTTTAACTTAATATCCAATTTCTTAATTGTAAATTAGTCCGTATTAATTAATAAAATGCATTTTTATTTTGAAAATACCTGCTAGAGTTTTGAACTTTGAGACCTGTTAATTATTGTAAAAATAAGTAATATTTTTTGTACTCATTTCAATCCTAAACAAAAGTCATTTCACGTTGAATAAAATATTTTGCAAAATTTAGATTTGAAAATAAAGAGTTATTTTTGGTAACAAATTTGAAAAAGTTTTGCAGAATTTTTTGCAAAAGATATAATTTATGTAATTTGATTAGTTGATTTTGAGACTCAATTTCCAAATTGTATTAAAAATTTGAAATGCGATAAATTTTTAATTGAATATTCGATCACTGATATTTTTTGTTTGCATGGAAAAAGAATAGCAGATGTGAGAATAAACTCTTGTATGCTGGTTCTATCTTTGAAGAAAGCTAGTTCATAGATTCAAATTTGTTATTAGCAGTGTCATCAAGAGAAGGATTAAGAAAGTCTCATTTTTGATATTTTGTGACAATTTATTAGCGACAGAAAATTTAGAGCAAAAGTAGTAATTATTTAGTACTGTATAATTTAATGAATTTATAATATTAATTATGAGATAAATTATTCAATTTATTTGCACATCATGAATTCATTATTAATCACATAAAACTGAGATCATGTTTAATTAATCGCAATCACCACTCACAGTAGCTCTGTTTTGCTTTCACTTCCGCCCGTGAATTTTTGAACTTTAACAGACCTAATTAACTCTTTGTTATATAAAGAAATATACAAAAACTGAAAAAAATGCATCAGATAAAAAGTATGCTTATCGATTTTCGATTAGCTACTTTACAAACTTTAGATAAAATTTTCTAGTGCTGCTGGATACTAATACATGCATAGTTTTATCAATGATGTGTATTCTTTGGGTGGTTGCAGCTCGATTCCATCAACGTCTCTTGAAAATGGCAGGGAATTCGGGATCAGCTAGCATAACCTTGTTGGATAGGTCTCCTGTTGGCTTTTCCGGTTATCGACCTACTGAAAATCCCATACAACCAGGAATCGCTTCTGGTTCCGCTGCCAGTTCTGCGTCACAGGTAGGAGCTGCTGCAGCGTCATCTGCATTTGGTGCCTCATCTTATCTTACCAGTCATTTTGGTAATACCTACCAACCACCACCCGATTTTTCTAGGTTAGTTATAATGCATTTTAAAAGTTTTATTCTCAACTAACGAAAAATTAATCCATTCTTGATTCTAAACTTTTAAGGATAAACGGGAATGAAAGTGAAACTGATTCCCAGTACAAATTAAAGTCATTCTCAAGCAAGACAATTCTGTAAAAATTTGCCAAAATTGTTAGCTGAATCTATTAAGAGATCTAAGTTCGAGAAGAGTATTTTCGAGCTTAATGAGACATTTTTTAACTCTGAGTACTTCTGCACAGTACTGTATGCTCAGATTGATCAATCTCAACCTCCTTCGATTAATCACACTTTTTTCTTTGCTTTTTTCTTTTTCTTTTCTCCATTCTAAATTTCTTGTTTTTATTTTCCAATCACCTAATTAACTTACTGCGACCTTAAATTTCTCACAGGAAGTGCTAAATGAAAGTAGTAAGCTTTACAAGCAAGTATTTCAATTTCAGTCTTCAATAAAAGTTTCGAATTTAAGTTTCAGTTATGTTGCAAATGCACCGTCAGCAGCTGGTTGGTATGGTCCGCATGATCCACGTCTTGGTAAGTTAGTCCTTTTTCATGACTTGCAAAAATTATCCTTCATATATACATGCAATTTCTCTGTTCACATTTTTCTGCTTAGCAATGCAATAAATTAATTCATCCAACACTTTGTGCTCTTATTTTTGTTGTTTTTGAGTAAAAAATAAATTTCCGATTTAAGTTAATGCTAAGATGCAATAAACAACATCCAAATACTTGCTTGAATTAAGCAAAAAACTGCAAATGTTTGCTCTAACATTTTTCTTATTTAAAATTAATTTTTTAAGATGACAAAATTTGCTCATTTTCAGTGAAAAGTAGCTCAAAATTTGTTTAATTTTTTCTTCACTGTAACAAATAAGAAGCAATTATGTGAAGTCACATACGTGAATGCATTTGTCTATTTTGCATTGATTTTCATTCAGTTTGTAATAATGATTGCAGTCAAAAATCAGGATTTTTCACAAATAATTATTGTGGCATGTTTGAATTTTCAAACAGTGAACAGCACAAATTTGTAAATTGAATGAATACCTTTTGAGTTTTTTCCCTCTTCATTATTTTACTTATTATTTCAAATAGTCATTAATATGTGGAAAAATTATTCACAATGCATCGTATAACTTTTAATTTCTTAGCAAAGGCTACTAAAATTTCTCTCAAAAATTGAGCGGAATTCTTCTGATCAGTACTTGAAAACGTAAAACCTTTAAATCAGAAGACCACTAATAATATTCTACTTAATTCTGATCCTTTTTGTACTTGGTAGCATCAGTTACTTTTCTTCAACAGTATATCATATTAGATTAAGCAGCTTTTTGTGAATAGACAGTCTTTGTAAGAGTTTAAAGAAACTATGAATACGTACTTTGATAAAGAATAAGGTACAAAGTTTTAGTCTACATCTGAACTACTTTGCTCTGAGATATCTTTGAAATGGATGAGTAGAAGTGGATTATCCAATTTGTTTGCCATCTTATTATCACTTCACATAAGTATCAATCAAAAGAGAGGATCATAATAACTTTTTCTTTCTAAACTTTTTTTATTTACAAAATATTCTAGTTTTTTTGCTAAGAAATAAGAAATTTAAGTACAAATTGCAATTTGCTGAAATCACAATGTATTATTCACGTTTTAGCTTTTATGCCTATCACTTTCACGTGTAATATTTTCTTTTTTTTTGCTAAAATTTGTCTGAGATTCACTACATCTCATTATCAGCAATATATCTCTCAAAATTTGTTTCAATAAATGTGTTTTTTATTTAATTTTTCATTTTTTCGTGTATGCACCAAGTAATCTTTACTCATTTCTTACCTTACTCATTTTCTTTTATAACATTTATGTAAAGTTATTTTCAAAATTATTATCTAACTTTAATTCCAAATTATTTTTAATTATTTTTTGCTACCAAAAAATTTTTTCAAAAATCTCTCTTGCTCATATAATTTTCAAAAAACCAAGAGTAAAAATGATAAAAACCGGAAAGTTATTGAAAAGTGTGAAATTTCAATGGCAATTTTGTTACTTTTAAGGAAGTCTTGCAAATTCACTGCAGAATGACAAATAACAATTTCACAGGCAAATAAATTTGGACGGACAGGTACGAAATTCATGGAAGGTAAACACATAAAACAAGAAAGAAGGAAGGTGGGAGTGGTATCAAATATGTAAACATTCACAGTAATCATTTGATTATGTAAATATTCGATTGATTTAGCGTATCTTGATCTCAGATCATTACTATGGACTTTTCGCGCATTACAATATCTACTGTAATGAGATCAAATAAATGAACTCATTGAAAACCTTGCTTTGTGAAGAGAATGATATTAATACTTTAATTGTTAGATATATTTTGAGCAAGAATAATCGAAAAAACCCACAAGTCATAGCATAAAATGAATTAAAATGTTTGTAATATCCAAGAATAAATTTTAGCTTTTTTGCATAAATAATATTAAATTCTAGAATAATCACTGTAAGTGCAAAATATAAATATAAATTTTTGGTCAGAAGTATGCTTATTTTCTAAACTTGCATTTTTTTCTGCAAGTAATTTGATTCCTCGTTGATGATTGCTGTTGAAAATTTATTTTACTGACTTCAACTCAAATCATTATTAATAAATACTTATTTTTAGCCATGAAGTTCTGATGATAATTACTTCTAAGTGTTATATTCATTAAATCATTTTAACAGAACAATTAATAAAATATTAATCAGTTGGTAATTAAGTAATTAAGATTTACCATACTTGAGTGATTTCTATTCAGTAGGTGATTGATTATATGAGCAAAATGAAATCAGTTATTGTATTCATTTGTATTATTTTTATTCTCATTAAGAGGTTCTTGATTTTTGCTTAGTGATAACTGAGGTCCGTAGGAAAAGGATCAACTTCTATTCATATTGTAAATGGTTGACTTTGAGCTAACCACAGGGTGCCAATTGAAGCAATTGAAACAGTTTCAACTAAACCAACCACTGTGTTTAACAAACATTCTTGTCTACCTCACCTTTACTACAATACACTTTTCAGCTAAAACTTATTCAATGTGTTTACAATTTATTTTCATTATTAAAGCCACTAAATTTTTTCAGCAAACCCACCAATTACAAGTAATTTACTGCACAGCAAGTAAAAAGCTAGTGAAGCTTTACTTTCGAACAGATTAACATTAAAGTAGAATTGTAATTTTAAGCAAAAATTAAAATTGAATTATTAAAAGGAGCTTTATTTATAGTTCCTCGACTAAGTTCTGGTTTTGGTCTTAATTGTGGTATCAATCCGGCACATGCAGCTATGCAAGGCTTGCAGTTGCCTCTTACTGGTCATTCCGGTTCAAGACGAAAACGACGTGTACTTTTTTCTCAGAATCAAGTTTATGAATTAGAACGGCGGTTTCGAGCATCAAAATATCTAACAGCACCAGAACGGGAAGCTTTAGCAAATTCTATAGGGCTTTCTGCTACGCAGGTTAGATCAATAGTTGAGATTTAATAATCAGTTTGATTTTAATGTTTTCAATAAAACATTAATACTGCATTTGGAATAAACCGAAATAATTAACACTCTATTTAAAATGTTCTTGTCGTTTACATATCGAATATCATTAGAATGTACCAAAGGAATTGAAGATTAATTCAGGTCAAAATTTGGTTTCAAAATCATCGATATAAATGTAAGCGACAGGAAAAAGAGAGGAAAATGACTGATGGCAATAGAGGACGTGCAGAAAGTCAATCTCCTGGTCCTTCTAGGACACCAACGCCTATGGACGGGACCAGTCTCGATAACAAGTAAATGTATATCCGTATCTAACTTGAAAAATAGTTTTATTTATATTGTCAAAAACAGATTCATATTAAGATTCATACTAACTATGTTCAGTGATCTGCAGTCATTTTCAAGTTTCATCTTAATGACAAAGTGATCTTTTACATTTTTTTAATAATTCTATTTTCTCTTTAAAAATGTTCACAAATATTTAAGTCAATTAATGTAGAAAGAATATTCCTGTATGTTTAGAAAACTGAATGTTTCAATTCTGGTAAAAGACGGGAAACGGTGTGATAATGCTCATGGTGTTGGTACCTTTGACTCTAGTTCAGACCATTTATTGAATTTGAGCGCTTTACCTGATGGAATGCCAGACTTGAAAAATCAATTTTATCAACAAGTACCACTTTTAAATATTAAAAAAAGAAGCCTTACTGCTTAAAGAAAAAAAAGAATTTGAAGTAAATTCATGAGAATTTATTTTATATCCATCTAATTTGGATTAATTTCAGAGCAAAAAGAAAACTTCTTTCTAGACCTCCAGAATTATCAATCAGACTTTGATTTAAACTTTAAAATGTTACAATTAAGCATTTTATTTCTTCACTTATTGACTTTTTTAAAACATCACATTCGCTTATTAAAAAATTTATCTCAGCTCATTTAAAAGTAACTATTTAAAGGCGATGTGTCAGCCCAGCAATATGTACCAGCAGGGAGCCTTTTCATTCCCACCATTTGGTGCCCAACCTTATCCAACAGCTCAAAATCCATACTATCCGTATTATGCCAAATAGCATAGTTATGTGTAAAAAAGTTATATTATTTATTGTATTTAAAGAAACTAAATATTTTTTCATTAATTTATTTGGTTAAATTTATTTTATTTGATGTTGTTTTGGGATTCTTTTCATCCATTTACACATTTTTTAGACATTAGAAATAACAAAATATTTGAGAAGGAAAATTAGACTACACCATTAATTTGCATTATTTATCCAAAATAATGCTGCAGCTTTCATGATCTGAAGCTAGCACACTTCTTCAACCTATTAACTTTCACAAATTTTTCACCAAATACTTGCTCTATACTTTGCATTGTATTACAATTTTGTTTCTCTAACTCTGCTGACCAATTACTTTCTTCCACATTTTTGTTTGTTTTGTAATTTCCATACAGTAATACTTGGTGTCACAATCAAACAACGCTAAAGTATAAGCGTGAAAACTAAACCCTTTTGGAGTAATTAAGCAAAAAAGTTGTGAATCTTTCACAGGATAATTTTTGGTGCAATTGGTGCAGCAACAAATTATTTATAATTCTTTCAATTGCATGTGTACAACGGTATTAAGATTCAAAGGTCACAAAGGTTATACGGATGAATAATACGTCAATAAATAATAATCGGTAGTTTTTCATTGTAAATTATTTATAGCTTTATTATTTTAATCATATTTAAGCCAATTGTTTTTACTATGCTTTTATTAGGTCTTGTTATATGTTTTAAGTTTATTTTCAAAAAAAAAATGAAATATTTATACAGTACAAAATGAAAAACATTATTTTATCCATTTAGAAAGATTTTTATCAAAACTCCAAAAAGATCCTTCATATTATTTTTAGTCTGGCTAATATGATCTGTCTTGCTTTATTACTGTTTTGTGCCATTTTGTACTGCAAACGATAAAACTTTCAATGGTTGCAAGGTGCTACCACATCCACGTAAGCAGTCTTAGAACTAAGTCCTTTCAAACATTTGCATTTGAAAATGCTTTTTCAACAAATTTTAAATCAAAAGTTTATTTTTTATAGTTTTTAGTAAGTACTTTGTTTTTACAATACTTCTACGCTCATAAAGTTGCTGTGCCAGACCAAATAATTGTTTGAAACTGAGAAGCATATCAAAAAAATATTCAATTAGACTTCCAAATTAAGTCGTAATTTTCAATTAATTTATTTTCTGAAGAAATAATTTTGGCAGTGACTTAACTCTTAACGCTGCCAAATTTCTGTTTTTGAATACTTAACAGAGCTACGTATGAATCAGACTTATAATTAATTTTTGTCACCGCGAAGATAATCCTATAAAACGAAGTCAAATCGCGTTTTGCTCTAACTTTGTTTAAGCTTTCCGCGGGGGCAATTACTGAAATTAAGAAGGTGAAGAGGTTACATTATATTATACATGAAACAATTTCTTCAATCATGGTATGCTCAACTTTGCTTGTCGGCCAACTTCTATTGAGACAACTGTAATTATTACTTATTTCATGAATATTGGTCACGACTACTTTTTAATTCTTCATCTACGATACTTCAATAGCACAATTATAACAATACCCTTAATAGCGCCTCATAATTTACGCATCATTACCTTACCTCTAATGAGATATTAATTAGATTAAAGATTTTAGCATTCCTAGAATCCCTGCTGTTCCAGCTGATGTCTTCATCTCGTGTGGCTGAGAAAAACTATTATTTTGAGCACAGACACCTGTAGAAAACACTGCAGCATTCAATAATATTTTATTCGTGCAAAAATCATCAAATTACAATTGCTGAAATGCAAAAATGATTGGCAAACATTATGAAAGTTTAGAAATGATTTCTTTTTTAATTTAATTTTAATGAACAAAAGCCTTGAAAAAAGACGATGATTTAAATATCAGTTTTTAATGGAAGCTGCAAAAATAATGCATGTTGATTCTTTTTTAGTGATTCTGAAAGTCACATTCATCATTAACACAGGCATAAAATATCACATACTTGTGAATTGAGAACATCTGAAAAAATAAAAAATTAAAAAATATATATTACGTATATAATCTATTTATATTATCATTATGTAAATATATTTCAAAGTATGAAAATAATGACAATACTTCCTGTTAAGTTAAAAAAGACCCAAAAAAGTAATACACGTAGGATTTATTGACAAGAACAAATTTACATACAATGCAAACATTGTATTTCTATTTTCTAACAATATTCAAAGTCATATCGGCTTTTTTTTATTAAAGAGTTTACTTTAAAAGTATGCTAGAACCATTGGTACACTTAACATTTACTTTTGCTGACTTCCTTATCGTTTAATCAAAGATTCGCACAGCAGCGTCATGATGTCTACGAGCATTTGCCGGAAATACATCAAAGTAATTAACTGTTTAATACGGATGGGTAAGCTATTTGTTTGCAGAGCAAATAATTTGCAGATTAGCTGAATAATGACAAATTATGAGAAGACAATATCAAAGTGACTATGGAAAGGCGGCTTTACATTCAGAACTTTTTTACGTTCAAGAGCAAATTCTGAATGCTTTGCTAGAAGTTTAGATTTGTGATTTGCGTGAGTATTCTTGGAATGACATCTAAAAATACTTGAAACACATTATTTGACTTTTACTTGAGGAATGACAGAAATGAAAAATACCTAAAAATGATTTTTTTTCACTCAAATCTAAGAGAAGTCAAAGTTGTCAGTTTTCTTAACTTTTGAACTGAAAACAAAATGTTTAAAAATAGAAATCGTTATGGTTGGTCATTTCTCAAATGTGATGATGGACAGTGCTAAAAATTAGTCTTCGAAAGATCATCGTTTTACCGTCTAATTAAATAATAATGAATTGTGCCTTTGTCAAAAAATTCATTACCCGCAAATTAATTTCGAAGAATTGTCGTCTGATATGTAAAATAAATTTATTTTTTAAAAGTGAAATCATTCACTTGCAGTTGTATTGAATTATTTTGTCCTGAAAAGCTTTTTGCTGGATTTAAATACAGTAACTTTCGCTTTGTGTTTGAAGAACGAACCCAAACTTTTTATTTGTTTTTCAAGATGCCACTTTTCTTATGAGAACTTTATCAAGTATGAAAATGATTGATTTTTGGCATTCAACCATATGGCAAGTTATTCTAAGCAAAAATCATAAAAAGAAATGCTCATTTATTATTTTTTTCTTAAACATAGTTTCTTGCAGTAGTAAGTTATGAGTACAGACTATTCGCTTATTGAGTACGATTTCAGCCCTTAAACTAAAGTATTAAATGAAATAATTAATAAAATTTGAATTTAAAAAATAAGCAATCTACGTCAAAATTCTGCTCATTACGTTTAACTTCAAACAAGAATACATTCAAAAAGCATATAATCAGAGTTATTGCCCAGTACTTTTGAATCCAGGATTCATTTCTTAAAATTCCAATCCTCATTAAAATTAAATTAATGCAACCAAAACTTCTAGTTACGAAAGTTAATGGTTTCTGTTTTTTGTTACCTAAATTTATAATCATTCTTACTACCGCTTGTTTCATTTTAACTAATTAGAAATCAAGTTCTGTCAACTTCTCTCTTGAGAAATTTTTAAGCTTAGTATCATGATGATTACTTTTTTCATGATTGTTACCTTAGTTATAATGGTTAAATATACTTTCATCACCCAGTCTTCACTCGAGTTATCGTTACCGTTCTGCTGACGACCCTACAACCTATACTATTATCCGTCACTGAGAAAATTTGGCTATTAACTTTTCACAGACCGAAAGTTAAACAAATTAAGAAATTAAGAAAGCAAATTTGCAAATGGCTTCAAAAATAGCCTCTTGAAGTCTAAGAGAAGAGACTAATTCCTAGAAGAAATATCAATTTGTTCTAATGCTAAAACTCTCCTCGCCCTTGTCCAAGCACTCCTTGCTCAAATTCGTTCAGCCAAACACACTATCATGAATACCGTAATCTCAAGAGCTCTTGTGAGGAATTTTCCCCACAAAAATGTCTGACGACCCTTTCTCACTCTCCTTCTCATCTTTTTCTTCTCTCGCTCTCGTGAAAAGTTAAAAATTTACACATTTTCTTAAATCAAATTCAAACTTTCTCCTTCCCTCCGCCCACTTCTTCAAAGCAAACAACCAGACGAGAAGTCGAATTTGTCATGTTCAGGGAACAATTCAATTCATTCGTACTTTTGATCTTCTGTACTGACAATTAATCACATTTAGTTTTCGACCAACTGGTAATATTGCACTGAAAATTTGAAAGTTCACTCACAGTAACAGTCAAAGAGCAATGCAAAATCTTTCGACCGAAAAGGTTCACTCAATTTTTGTGCAAATTACAATTTAAACAACAAATTTAAATGTTTCTTAGTGGTAAGAAGTATTTTTCAAATTTTTTTAAATCATCAATAATGGAAGAAAACAATTTTTCACAAGAATTTTAAAAGATTAATTTATCTTCAAAAAATTTGACATGAATAAAAATTTGAGCAAAATAACTTTTGTGTCAACAAATAACAACACATTACTTAGTAAAGTACTCGGCTCACTCTTTCTCCATCAAATATTCATACTTTAGACTTTGGAAATTTTTCAATTTCGACTTTGTTTGACTTTTTGAGTAACTAATTTGTTGTTATTATTGGATTTTTCTACTTTTATTACAGTAGTAATAAGTTAAAAAATTGATATTTTGAAGGTTTTTGGTATAATCTTAAGTTATTTGAGTTCTAAATTAAAAAACGTGAGCTGTTTCCAAACAGATATAGAATGGTAATATTGTTCTTTGCATGAGCCAAAAAGGTCACCAATTCATTCAGGTAAGATAAAGAAGAATGCAACATCTTTCGATGGCGTGGGTAAGTACTGACCCGAGTGTACCTGTCGCGTACACCTGACCACTTCACTTTATTCATTTGCATATTTTTCTATGAATATCTATGCACTTCACTTTCTTCATCATATTTTTAATATAACACAAAAAATGGCAAATAGCCACCTCTCGACATGAGTACAACGGAAATG